AGAAGCAGCTCAAATCGATGGTGCCGAAAGAGTGGATGCCTGTCATCAAGAGGTCGGGTATCTCGAACACGAATACTCCTGTTCGTGAGCAAGCTGGATCCTGGTGGCAGAGAAATAAGATGCGCCTTGCGATATGTACAGGACTGGCTGGCTTATGCTACTTGTTCCGCCCCAGGGCGGAGCACACCGCATCTTTGGCGCACGAGGACACATCAGCGGGATGGGCGCTGCTTGCCGATGTAGTATCAAGGTCAGATCTGGCTTCGCTGCGAACCCCACCGGACGTTTGCGACCGTGCAGTCACGGCCACGGCTCAGAAGATGCAACCTGTGAGCGCGATTGACTGGCAACGACTGGGGTGGTGCAACCAGCTCGGCGGCCAGTTGGTTTGCAACGGACCACACGGCCAGGATCCGTTTTGTCATGCCTTTGGCATTCCCACAAAGTTCGACGCAGCCGCCGTCTGGAAGGCGGTTAGTCACCACCTCTCGCCTAAGGAGTGTGCGATCCACTGCGACTCGTGGGATGACTTTGAGCATCTTACGCGAAAGCGAACGGCAATTGAGCTTGCGCCAATCATTCTGAACAGGGATGCAAGCCATTCCGACGTGACGGAATTGTTGGAGATGGCGCAAGAAATTTTCGAGCAACTGTATCATAAAAGTTACATCACGCCGATCCTTAAGGACTGTCATAGAATCGATTGCGTAGTGCCGGATTCCGACGTCAATTGCGTCCTGGCAACCCGAGAATGTAGGGAGACGGACGAAGAAGGTCGCGAGCACTACGTCGGTACCATAGCTGACTTCAACACTAGTCCAATCCAAATGCTCAATCAGCCGAGTGCACTTTTCTCACTATCGCGCTATAAAAATTCAAGCAGCAAGTGTCTGGTGCAGTGTTTAGGTCCAACACCGGAACCGAAGGAGCTGAAACAAACTAGACTGGACCCTTCCTAACAGCGATGGTTTGTGGGGGTCCTCCTCTTGTGCAAATCCTCCTCAGTGGGATGACTGGTCGGCTTATGGTACTCGTTCCGCCCCCGTTCTTCGTGCTTTTTAAGGGGGCTTTTTTGGGTAAGGGAAAACTTCATTAATAAGCGTGGAAGACCAGGTAGTTAAGAGAGAGGCAATCTGGTGGGAATGGCCGGACGCCTTTTGGAGATTATCCCAGAGGAGGAAACGCGTCATCAACCATCTGTTTATTGACTTGCCGCTTGTCTATTACGGTCCGGAACCTGCCTGATATCTCACCTGCCCACTCTTCGGGCGCAGGAACGCTCTCTTGTTTAATACTTCCCACAGCGCGACGAACTCTGTCTCATTCAGATGTGATGCACGTTATAGCTACGATAGAGAGTTGCGTGGTCTACGCACACAAGGATGTATGCACACAAGGATGTAGTAAACCTGCCCTTGGAATGCTCTAGGGCCAACATAACCCATGCTTACTCTACCCATGAAGAACGGCTGCTCCAACGTGCCTTCGCGGCAGGTTACGCACGGGAAGATTGCGGGCACAGATGGCGCACTCTTGGACCAAGTGCTGTACGAACTCCTTGGACCGTGGCCACCAGAACACTTCGGCCACATTCCTGGGGGTCTTAGTGACATCTTGATGACCGCCACGCTCTCCCATGCGGTACCAAGCAGTCAGCTTAGACCCAAGTCAAGTCGGGACGTACTACTTTTTGGTTTTATGGTGCTCGTAGAGACCGCCTTCTCTTTTGAGGAGGTTTTGCAACTCATCCACGGGGATGTCGTCGTCCTTGACAAGGTACTCGTTGCGTGACGGTAGCTGGAATAGGTTCTGGCTGCGGGCACCCCCTGTTCCACGGCCCTTGGCCTTGGTTGCGAGGCTCATGGTTGCCACGTGGGGGTGGCAAACCACCAGTGTGCGCTTAACAGAAGAGTTTCCCAGCGAAAGTCATTACGTAGGAGGGAGGAAGCGTCGGTGCCTGCCAGCCACTGGCAGAAGAGCTGTCGTTGGTACTCCCCAAGTCGGGGAGACTCGCTGTTGTCGAGCAGACGGTCTTCGTTATGACCAGCTGTAGGTCGAAGTAATGTAACAAAAACAATCTTAGCGCCCAAGTCACAGCTGGAGGAGTCTAACGCTTTACACCGTATGTTGTCAGCACCGTTCACGGTCAACTCGGGCTCTGACGCGACTCCACAATCGCAACACATGTCTGTTCCACTACAGAAGTGACCGCACCACTCACACCCGCAAGATGTAAGAGAAACGCCGCCAGCAGCTTCTTCATGAACGGCCTGATCACCGGACTCAGCACCAACGAAGGGAGGAAATACGCCACCTCTCCTTCAGCCTGCAATACTGAATTATGAGAACACCACTTTCTGCCTGAGAATGCTCTCTTCGTGTGGCAGGAATTATGGAGCGAGCATGATGACCAGGAGAGAACTGATGTTTATCGCTACGCCAACGTAGCGCAAACAAATTATGACCTTTGAGACATAACACTAAGTCACTTCTCTCTCTTTTTTTTTGAACACGAGGCCGTTTTCGCGTCATTCGATTTTATGAAGACGATTGTGAGTGCGGTTCAGGGCTGCAGCAAACTCGTTGGAATGCTGGCAGTTATTGTGCAGGATGGAGCAAGGCCGCCGGTTACGGACGACGACTGCGTGGCGCGAATGGTGTCGTTGGGTAAGGGAGAGGAGTGCATTCATGTGCTGGTTCTGGGTCGTCTCAGCGACAGCTTGACACAGGAATATCCTATGGAAGCCGGGTGCCCTTTGGACTTGGACGGACTCCTCGAATGGTCAAGAAGGATGTTGGTTTATCAAGACGAGAACGAGTACGTCAAACGTATGTTCAGCAATGTTCTTAAGAAGCGCCTTGAAGGCGAAGACGACTTGACGCTTTATGACGTGTGGTCCGAGGTTTTCAAAGGGGATATTGTCAAGGTGGGTGACGATGTCAGCGACGACGCGAAGTTGCTGGAAGTGCTGTACGCCAGACTGTTGACGTCGGAGGAGCAGAAGCAGCTCAAATCGATGGTGCCGAAAGAGTGGATGCCTGTCATCAAGAGGTCGGGTATCTCGAACACGAATACTCCTGTTCGAGAGCAAGCTGGATCCTGGTGGCAGAGAAATAAGATGCGCCT